CATTTCCATCTCTCTCATTCTCTCTTTGTCTCTCTGTAGTCTCTGTCTCTGCCTCTCTCTCTGTGTCTCTCTGCGTCTCCATCTCTCTCACTCTCTCTCTGCATCTCCATCTCTCTCCAACTCTCTTTGTCTCTCTGAGTGGCTCCCTCTCTGTCTCTACCCACCCCCAACCCCCCCATCTCATTCTCTCTCTTTGTCAGCACTCATGATAATTTCTGGTCCAGCTCTCTGAAAGGGTTTGTTTACAGACTGTCAGAAAAATTCCAACAGAAACTGATGAATGAGTGAGAGGACAGCCTAGATATTACATTGCCTGAGGGACAAAAAAAAGTGGAGATTTGGCAGCAAACAATCTGTTTATTCAGACTGAAGCTGAGCTTGCAGAGAGGTTGGCCCGGGGATATGTGTATGTGTGTGTGTGTTTGTATATATACAACAAACAGAGTTCATTTTAACCCACGTTGGTCAGAGCAGAGCTAACATTTCGAGTTCAGTGTGAATTCTTTTCAGAAGGGAAGGAGTTTTGAAGAAGTCTTTGTCGGGCTTGAAGACTTAACTCTTGTGTTTTTTTCTCTCTCTCTGCACTTGGATTATTGCGAGCCGTTCCGGGTCTATGTAAGGATGTGGTGGTCTTGGAGAAGTGGGATTGGGTCCAGAGGAGGTTTACACGAAGGATCCCGGGGATGAAGGGCTTGTCATATCAGGGGGCAGTTGAGGACTCTGGGTCTATACTCAATCGAGTTTAGAAGGAAGAGTGGCGATCTAACTACAGAATACTGAGAGGCCTGGATAGAATGGGTGTGCAGAAGATGTTTCCACCAGGAGGAGAGACTAGGCACAGCCTGAAAGTGAAGAGACAACCCCTTTCGAACTGAGATGAGGAGGAATTTCTTCAGCCAGAGGGTCGGTGAATCTGCATCTCCATCGCTCTTATTCTCTCTTTCTGTCTCTCTATCTGTGTTCCATCTCTCTCATTCTTTGTGTCTTTCTCACTCTCTCTGTATCGCCATGTCTCTCATTCTCTCTTAATCTCTCTCTCCCTGGCTGCGTCTCCGTCTCTCTCATTCTCTCTTTGTCTTTCTCTCTCTCTCTCTTTCTCTCTGCGTCTCCATCCAAGTCACTCAGTCTACGTAAGACAGAGATAGGGTAGATTCTCGATCAGTAAGGGGATCAAGGGTTATGTGGAGAAGGCAGGAGAACAGACTTGAGAAGCATGTCAGCCACGATCAGAATGTCAGAACAGGCTCGATGGGCCGAGTGGCCTAATTCTGCTCCTAAAGGTCTCCACAGGCCTGTAGAGCTTCCTCAGCACCTTGTCCTGGATCTTCAGCATCCTCAACGCTTCAATTTAATCGTTCAGAACGTTTGCACAACGCTGGGATGGCTGGTGACCTGGGATCAGTAGTGGGGGGCGTGGGGGGGACAGCGACAGGAGGAGGCTAAAGAAATGGGCAGGCAATCGTGGAAAGGGGGAAGACTAGGAGAAACCAGGGAAGGTTGGGAAGCAGAGGGACACGGATTGGAGAGAGAGTCGGGAGGAGATGGGGAAGTTGGGGAGTGGGGGAAACGTTTCGGGCGGTTGTGACCTGGGGGACTGAGAGGGCACGGGGGAGGGGAACCTGATTCAATAGGAACTCTCCGAAAGGGACACATTAGAGAGTTCCGCGGGGTAAACTTTACAGGGCAATGGGGCAAAGGAATGGGATCAAGCGAATCACACTGTCAGAGCTGGCACAGCTGGATGTGAGATAACAAGGTGTAGAGCTGGATGAACACAGCAGGCCA